TCTTTTGTCGGCGTAATTAAAAAGTTTTGTCCGGCACTTGCAGCTAGTACCTTGACTGATTGACATGGAGGGAGATTAAATTATTAATTGATAGAGTTTCCAATTAAGCGCAACAAGTAAGAGTTATTACGATCTCAATTGAACCTTACATAAGACATAAGACGCAATCAAAGTTTAATCAGTGACTTACATTGTTCACTGACTTTCAATCTATACTTCTTCGGTAGCAATTACCTCTGAGGTCTTTACTCACTTGTACAGAGGTGTGTCTTTATTAAATATATCATCGAATCTTCCTCAAATCTACTGAGTTTGTTCGATTAATTAAAAACTAACTTAGTTAACGAGCGTCTATTTGATGGTTTTTCCCGGTCAATGTCTTGAGTTGCTATATTGCGGGGCAATTGTGAGCTAGTATAATTTGGAGCATCGTAAGTTGCTTGAAAATTTCAATTGTACTGAGAGCGATCCAAGAAACAGAGCAAAAAGTACGGGTTGAGTAAACTACATTGTACTACTACGGAGTATGGAGAGCATGGGGTCCTTCGAGATTACACTCATCGAGCAAGTACACGGATTTTCACGGTAGAAAGCCTCGCACTTGCTCCTTGCGACGTAAACTCACCAAAATTACGATGAAAATTATTTGAACCGTGAAGTGAGTTTTCTTGTGCCCCTGAGATTTTCATCGGTCTGCTGAGAAAAATGATCTTTATTTAAATATAATTTAAATTTTTACACTGAAAAATTCAAAATTGTTGTTTTAAATTTTTTTCTAAAATATTTAGCTGTCAATTATAATTTTTTTATATGGCCATATATATTCTGATATGTTTTAGGTGATATCAAAAATTTTTTTATTATTTTACTAGCAACTTTTCAGTCACTACGTGACTGCCGTGACTTGTGAACTATAAATAAATAAAATTTTGCTTTATTAAATAATTACTTTTGTTAAATTGCACTGTACACTATTAAATATCGACGATTTTGAAGATATAAGCTCATCCCGATGTTACACTCATTAAGAGCTTTCATTTGAGTACCCACATGCATTTTGATATATTTTTCATATATACATATATATAATATATATAAATATATGAAAAAAATTATGTGGGTACTCAAATGAAAGGTCTTGATGAGTGTAACATCGGGATGAGCTTATATCTTTAAAAATGTTATTAGTTGACAAGATAGCAAAGTCAGTTCTTAATTATTGACATTTTTTAAGATATAAGTTCATCCTGATGTTACACTCATCAAGAGCTTTCATTTGAGTACCCACATGCATTTTTGATATATTTTTCTTATATACATATATGTAATATATATAAATATATGAAAAATTGATGTAGGTACTCAAATGAAAAGTCTTGATGAGTGTAACATCAGGATGAGCTTATATCTTCAAAAATGTCAATAGTTCACGAGATACAAAGTCATTTCTTAATTATCTATCTAGAGATAGAGTATTTTCGAAGGCAGCCTAAATATTTATCATCTTAAATTGACTATTGGTAAGAATAATATAAAACCTTGAAAAGGCACAACTCCAGGTCAAGACTTTTTCAACGACACAAAATTTAACCATAAAAATTCAATTTATCATATTAATACACTGGCCACAAAATTTTGCTTATTCTCTTAATAATATTAGATTAACAAATTATTATGATGGTCCTTAGAAAGCACTTGCTTTAGGATGAAAATTTAATAAATAAATAAATAAAGTTACCATTAAATTAAAGTACGACATAATTACAGCATTTGAAAAAAAGGATTGAAATTTAACTGAAGAATAAAAGGAAGTTGTATATTTCTTGAAAGAATTTATGACCCGAAAAGTTGAGGGTGAGAAAAGTCTCTGACCTAGCTCACGGCGTTATCTTATATTCAGAGATTCGGAGAGTTAGAGTGTATATTGGATTACGCAAATGAGAGGAAGCAAAAAGAATAAAAGTAAGGAGGGCTCGTAAAGAAAGATCGTGAGAGATAACAACTCAGTGTGCGAAGAAAGGATTGGATATAAATAAGTTGAATAAGAGTAAGACTCCTTTATTTCCATCCCTTACACCCGGCGAGTCACCAAAGAACCGCTGTGTATGTGTAGCGGTTACAGATACTGAAAAACTTCCAAACTCGGATTGGACTAAGGAACCATTCCATTAGTTTCATTTCCGCTCTTTCATTTCGTCTGATCATACAGATATTTTGTTTTTCTCCTATTTTCTCGATAAACTTTCCAATTATTTTCGCATTCGCATCCGGTGTCTTGCGCTGTTTTTATTCTCCCGGCTCACGGATCGGAGAAGCGAGAAAATGAAACGCGGAATTGCCCACCGGCCAGCCCATCTATGGACTTATAACGCACGATGGATTACCAGCTATTATTCTTGATAGGAAACAAATAAATCAACCAGTTAATTTTATTGGATCACTTTTTTTATTTTGTTTTCACTTATCGACCCCGACTGCAGATAAAAGAAAAAGTTTAGCATAAAAATGGAATTAAAAACAAACCAAGAATTAAAAAAGTATCGATGGTAGTGAAGTAATACTAAAAAGACTATAAGAATTATTTAAAATCTCAATAGCCTGTATTAATTATTTTTTTTTTGCTTTATAGAAGCTGCAAATTCCCAAAAAATAATTTATTTTCATAAAAAACCTAATAATATATTTTATTAAGAAGTTTGAAGGAATTATATTTTAATACTTATGTACTAAAACTCAAATCTCTAGTTAGGAGAATATTCAGCGACCATGCGCCATCTGTTGGAAGTTTTCAATACTAACTTTGATAAAAATTCTCGAAAAACAATTTATTTTTATATAAAATCTAATACTATATTTTATTAAGAAGTTTGAAGAAATTATATTTTAATACTTAGTTACTTCAATTCTAATCTCTGGTTAGGAAAAAATTTAGCGACTATGCGCCACCTGTTGGAGGTTTTCAGTACTAATTTTTTTAAAAAATTAAATTTGGACATTTTAAAGCATATCGGGCTAACTTTGAACAGATCTAATATTTTACATGGCCATGGAATATTTTTCCACGTTGATAAAAATTAAAATAAATAAAAAATCGAGTATATAAACAAGATCAATAGATTTTCTCGAGGTTTTTCATCGGTAATCTCTCAACAGAAGCAAAAGCAAGACCAGCAATAGAAGAAGTAGGAGCGGAAGTAGCCGGAGTATCTATCTATCTTTTATCTATGTAGAGTATGGATGCATCCTCATCTCCATGCAACTCTCGATCCCGCTGGCTATCTCACGTGTGATTGTACGTGCGTTGGAGCTATCGCTCACTCATACTTGTGTTGTGGAGCCCAGCATGCCATGCTCGGCGGTATACACGCCGTAGGTACACGGGCCAAGTAACTGGCATTCAGATAAATAGAGAAAGAGAGAGAAGAAAAGAGAGGGATAAAACCACGGGGGTTGTGCATACATTCCCTCAACTCACGTGACTCGCCCGATCCACTCTGCGCCGTACGGCTTTACTTTACCCAGATATTTACGCAATTCCATTATATTCGTCCCGAGTATCGCACACACGCGAATGCGAACGCGGATCCGGATGAATTTTATTAGTGTTAGTAAGCTACTATTTTCACCTACAGGTACACCCCTTTATTTACACTCGCTTACAAACCGTTTTCCAATTACACTGCGGGCTTTGGGATCGATTACTATCGAGTACACAAGTGCCGGTTAATAAAATTCCTCTGTCGATCAGATCGATCCTCGCCGCTTTACATTTAGCAGCCTTTTTTTCTTCAAATGATAAAATATAAATGATAAGCCGTTCGAGTAGACCGACAAATTGTTAATCAAGATTTACGGAGCTTTGAAATAAAAACAAACACTAATAAAACGCGGGGATTATAATTCAGCTATGGAGCGCATGTCTGGCAAGATTCCACCAGCTAGATCTCGAGGATTCCTGTGTATATATTTATAAGGCACTCTTAGCTTCCAGAAGTCTGAATTACTGGCCAACAACTTCTGGTCGCTGAATACAAAGCTGCTTCCAGCACCAGCAGTACCACCAGAATGTACTAAAAAAATTAAAAAAAAGAGCCAAGAACCATCGCTACGAGAGAGAAGAAAAAAACAACATTGTTTCTTCAGTTTTTTAACAGCAGGTGCTTGCTTCTGTTTTTCACGTGAATAACAAAACTGAATTCATTAATATATATCTGGAGATCTCTGCTTGGTATTCTTGGATGTGTTGCTCAAAATAATGAAATATATAAATATAAAGTTTGAGTTTGGATAATAATTAAACGGACTGGAACAGAAATTACATCTAAAATTCTCCTGATAATAAAATCACCGGTTGGGCGAATTCAGCGCGGAGAAGAAATGAATTTATGGATAAGGAAGGAAAAAAAAATTCTAATAGGGTATAAGTAAGAGAATTAACAATAAAAGAACAGGAATATCGGTAGTAAGTAACTCTAGCTGGTGGCCCATTAAACTTGGAACAAAGACATTTATTTCACTTACACTCGGTGAAGAGAAGCGCTGTACGGGAAAGAAAAAACCGGCTCGATTTATTGTACTTTCTGTGCTCGATCCTTTACAGGTCGTAAACCCGGCCCGGTTTTTTTACCTCCCTCCAACAGTTTCTTTCCTTATTTTAACTTTTTCTTCAGAGCTTAAGCTGCAGACAAGCATACTCCAAAGTTCGGAGGGATGTTACTCCGGGTACTTAAGAAGAAATAAGTCATTTGTTGTCGGGCTGATGAAACTAAACTCCTATTTTTTTACAAATATTTTTTGCTGGATGTCTGGGGAGCTTGCTAGGCGAAATTAGGCTCTCGAACCGCTGAACTTTAAGTTTAAACTCACCCTGGAGAAAAAGTAAACCTACTGGTGGTGATAACTGTCGAGAATATATCCATATTATCCATAAACAGTCGCCGTTGAATAAAAACTACTTCCCGCGTCATCTAAATTTTCTTCCGCTTGCCTATGCAGACACTATGCTGCTGGAAAAACGCCTAGGGCAACAGAATAATTCCAGTATGAGGGTTATATTTTGAAATTTACTTTAGCGCGTTGCGATCCTCCATCGTAAGCTCACTTACATATTCCATTTTCTCGATATGTAATATGTAATAGTCTATTTTTGAACCCGCCGGCGATGCATTTCCCGTTGTAGTTGTTGTTGCATTGAAAAATATGCTCAGATACATATCTAGTATTTTCATCGTATTGAAAAAGTAAATACATATATTGTTATCCTTACAGAATATTGAAGTTTGTATTTATTTCTGCATTTCAGATTCAATAACCCCGCCGAGTTTGCTCGAAGCGAATCAACGTGAAGAAGAAACGAGACTCGAAATCGAAAGACTCACCGCCGAAATTCGCAGTCTCAAGTTGCAGATACTTCAACTAACAGGTTCGTTTCATCTTTTATACCCTCTGCTTTGCATTCGCTTCAAATCAAATTTTTCATATATTAAATCCACAATACAGCTTCTAATTCTGTTATTGTTTTTGTTCAAAAAATTTTATTTGTATTTTTTATGACCAAAAATTAATTGCAACAGGTTATGGGTCCAGAGCCATAGCCAAAAAAATAAATATTAGCGCGTTTAAAAATAATTTTGCAGACATTATAATTATATTTAAAGATAAAAATTTATACAAACATGTTTGCACATTCCTAAAATATTTTTTCATCTTATGACACACAATCAAAAGCAAAAGTTAACAAGATAGGTAGGTGAAGATACGAGCGTCTAGAATCTCATGTTCTATTACTGAAGCAGTCCTCACGGCTTTAGTAACTGAATACACGTTTAAAGCTGATCTGAATTGGCTTAGCCATAAAGCTCAGTGTCGACTAGACTCGGTACACCCTTCAGTCTGTGTTCGTAGCTACAGACTCCTCACATACAGATAGATCTTCCTCTACAGATTTCAATAGCGCCCGAAGATAAGGCAGCATCAAACCTTGGTCAGCACGTCCACCGAGCTTATGCTTAAGCAGCTCAAAACTCTCCCCATATTGCAGGAGTCTCCTGCATATTAACTAATTTAATCAACCTGATTCACCCGCTAATTGAATGATAATATTTGCTCGGTGATTTTCGCTTATTTTCTAATATAATTTTTATTATTGATTAATTATTCAATCGAGTTTCACTCTGCTGACATCCAGAGATTACTGTTGTGATTATATTTTATTATGATGATAATTATTTCATAAAGTTCAATTACTGAAGTTAATTAGATAATGTGATTAAATCGAATCAGAGGATTAAAGTCTTACGGTGGAATTACGGAGATAGGCGGAATGAATGTATATTAATAAGCGCACATATCTCCAGGTAGAGAGGAACAATGAACCTTTCATCATCTGGGACGTCTTTCGCTTACATTAAAAGCTTTATTCTATTACATTAGTAATGTAATTCATCAAAAAGAGAGAAAGATATAGAGATATAATTATCAGGTAAAATTTTACACAGGAATTGCTTTATTTAATTACCGAGGTAATTTATCAATTATTATTGCCGCAGAAATTTTAATGTCAAGAGTCGTAATTTCGAGTTAAACATTGCCATTTTAATTGCCGTTTTAACTACAAATGTAAAAAGGTTTTACGTAACGACAATGTTAAATTAAAGTTTAAATAAAATAACAGACTTTTATAATATATTCACGCAAATAATAAACGACTCTTGCTGAAGCTTTAATTAAATCGCGGATTGAACTACGTGTATCGCGACAAAGAATATGAATATAAAGTTTTCGAGTTTAAAGATCGCGCTGTATATGTAAGTACTCTTCAAGATGTAAAGGCTGTAAATTTCCGGAAAACGCGACTAGTTTTGTCGTAAAATCGTAACGACTTTACGACCCGAGCTTTAAAATTTTAGCGGCGAGAACTCACAATAGAGAGAGAAATTGATAGAAGATTCCCCTTCTTTTTATTTAAGTTTATGCGACTCTCGAGTGAAAAGCTCTGGAGCGGGGCGTTTTTATCTCCCTCGATAATACAGTTGTTTTAGTAGCTACCGCTGTAGTTTGTCAGTCAATTCGTAGTTTCTTAACTCTCGGGAACTTCCGTAATGGTAGTCGCTATTATCCGACCACTCAACTCACTATTTTTTTACAATACTCGTTCTCGATTATCTTTCGAGTTCAAGTTTTACCGCTTCGGGCTTAAAACCCTGATTTAATGCCCTATAAAATACTTTCGTGGATTGAGCACATAACGCACGTCAGCTTGACAATGTACTCAAGTCTTTTATACTTCATTTATTTATTTATTACTTAGTTCAGTTTGAAGGAGTTTCTTGCGGCTATTCGTAAAACAAAGTTGTTTAAAAAAAAAATTAATAAATATAAAATTATGCGGAAAAATAAAAGTTTAATTTTTACAGTTTATAAAATTAATTTTAATTAATTAATAAACTAGCAACCCTGCAGTCACTATGTGACTGCCGTGACTTGTGAAATATAAATAAATAAAATTTTGCTTTATTAAATAATGACTTTTGTTAAATTGCACTGTACACTCTCAAATATTGACCTTTTTAAAGATATAAGCTCATCCCGATGTTACACTCATCCAGAGCTTTCATTTGAGTACCAACATGCATTTTTGATATATTTCTCATATATATAATATATATAAATATATAAAATATATGAAAAATTGATGTAGGTACTCAAATGAAAGGTCTTGATGAGTGTATCATCGGAATGAGCTTATATCTTTAAAAATGTCATTAGTTGACAAGATAGCAAAGTGAGTTCTTAATTATTGACATTTTTGAAGATATAAGCTCATCCCGATGTTACACTCATCAAGAGCTTTTATTTGAGTACCCACATGCATTTTTTATATATTTCTCATATATGTCATATATAAAATATATGAAAAATTGATGTGGGTACTCAAATGAAAGGTCTCAATGAGTTTAACATCGAGATGAGCTTATATCTTTCAAAATCTCAATAGTTCACAAGATAAAAGGTTATTTTTTAATTATGCATCTAAAGATAGAGCACAAAGGCACAAATTTAAGTCAAGACCTTTGCAATGACACTAAATTTCACTAAAAAAACCTATTTTATCAAACAAAATTTTCTTTGTTCTCTTAATAATATAAATTAATGAATTAATTTTAATTTTAATTAAAGAGTTTCATTGTCTTAAATCAAGACAAAAAAATTCTAAATTAAATAACATTGATTAAATCTAATAAAATTCATATTTACATTAAAAAATGAAATAATTATCAAACTTCTAGGTGGACCAGTTGGCCACGGAGAAACTTTAGCAGGTCTAAACTCAACAGAAATCGGAGATTGCCTGGCCGCGAGACGGCAAGTTGAGTTCGCGGAGATAACTCAAGGCCTGCCGCTGAACAACGAGTACGAGCTGATAGCCTTCAGCCACTTCACCTACTCGCGGCTGTATCCGGTGGACCTGGGGCTGGGAAAGCGCGTGGTGGAAAAGCCGATCGGGTTCAAGAGAAAAGACCTGCTGGAAGCCCTGGCGAAAGCCGTGGACACGCTTAACAAGAATGTCTCCTCGATCGCGGGAAAATACACCCAAGAAGACTTCCTGGAGGGACTATACCGCGTGGAGCCGACCACCGGGACCCAGTACGAGATGTACTTCAGGTCGAAGACGGTGAACAAAAGCTCCCAGGTGACGCAGACCAATGTAAACTCCGGGTTCACCAAGATCGTGATGATGAGACCCTACGCCCCAATCCACTTCGTATCCCTCCAGAGGCAGCCTGCTAGGGACAAGGAGCTCATCCACATTATTCTCCCTCTGTCAGGAAGAACCGGGACCTTCCAGAGCTTCATGGACAAGTTCGTTAAGATCGGGCTGAAAAACGACCGCCGGGTCCATCTGACGGTGGTCTACTTCGGGACAGAAGGGCTCTCCGAGGCAAGGTCCATTATGTCGAGGGTGCTCATGACACGCGGCACCGGAGGTACCAATCAGAATTTACGGCTCCTTGCCCTCAATGAAACTTTCTCGAGGGGAAAAGGCCTCAGAGTCGGCGCTGAGAGGGCCTGGACCGGGGATAATGATGTCTTGCTCTTCATGTGTGACGTCGATGTCGTTTTCAGCGCGAGGTTTCTTGACAGGTAACTAATTGTTTATTCATTCGCATAAAAGTTTCAAATTTAATATATTTTTATGGTAATTCAATTTTTACGTCGGATAATTTTTTAATCTAGCTAATTCTCCGATCAGACTATTAAAAATTGACTGAATAATTTCGCTTTATTAAATAATGACTTTTGTTAAACTGCACGGTACTTTCTTAATTATTGACATTTTTTAAGATATAAGCTCATCCTGATGTTACACTCATCAAGAGCTTTCATTTGAATACCCACATCCATTTTTGATATATTTTTCATACATACATACATACATATAATATATATAAATATATGAAATATATGAAAAATTGATGTGGGTACTCAAATGAACGGTCTCAATGAGTGTTATATCGAGATGAGCTTATATCTTTAAAAATATCATTAGTTGACAAGATAGCAAAGTCAGTTCTCAATTATTGATATATTTTAAGATATAAGCTCATCCTGACGATACACTCATCAAAAGCTTTCATTTGAATACCCACATGCATTTTTGATATATTTTTCATACATATATATATATGTAATATATATAAATATATTAAATATATAAAAAATTGATGTGGGTACTCAAATGAAAGGTCTTGATGAGTGTAACATCGGGATGAGCTTATATCTTTAAAAATGTCAATAGTTCACGAGATATAGTCATATAAATACACTGGCTACAAAATTTTGCTTATTAATAATATAAATTATCCGAATTTTTCATCAATGATTTAGAAAAAAAATTTTTTAAATATTCTTATAAGAAATTTTTAATAGTTAAAATTTAAAATGAATTTCTTTATTATTAAATTCAAATCCTACTTTTGAAAATCATTTAAGGAGGTCCTTTCGCCGCCAATGTAAAATAAAAAATATTAGATTATGAGTAAATTCAATTTTTTTCTAATAGTTAAGGCCCTTATTTATCTAATAATGAGGTTTAAATTATACTTTACCGGACAAATTTTTGAAAAAATAAAATTTTTAAATGTTAGTATTTGTTCAGAGTCTTACGAGAAAGTCAGACGTTTGCAGTATTTCTCGAATTATACTATCAGTCATGGATTAGATGAAGTAAAAAAAAACTAAAAATTAGATTTTCGAAATATTCAGGTTTCTTTTTTTGCAATAAAATATATCAGTTACCGAGATATTTATTGAGAAATTAATTTTTAAAAATCACAAAAAATTCTCAAGTAACCTACGTTAAAATGGAGTCAAAACATTTGGCAACGTTACGTAGCGCGCGAGCTTCAGACCATTCAATAAATTCAAACTAATTTATTTATTTACACTGACTGCAAAAATTTAAACGTGGTTAAGGTTATATTGTGCAAATGAAAATGTAAACAACCGAAGTACAGCGTTGCCAAATCACGGACAGGTTACTAGCAGTTGATTTGAAAGAGTCAAATTAATTTTTGTATTTTCAAAATTTCAACGACTAATGCCTCATATACTATTTATTATTTAATTTTAGGAATTTTTATGGGTTTCTTTTTTTAATTTATCGCATATTGACTACTACAATTGTTTTGACTCAAGTGGAGCGAGAGGATTTCCTTAAACGAAGCTTAATTCGTTAAAATATAAATTTAATTGATAGACAGACAATGAAGTTAATACCAACAAAGTCTGAAAGAGTTTAGACACACCCGCAGATGTTGGTGTGCTAATATTAACTCGCTGGTAATTGGCTCATTATTTTCCCACTAGTCTAACGATCCAATTCCAAAGAAGGTCGTTAATGCCAGCCAGCTCTCGGCATAATTTAAGTTCGTAATAGTAATAACAATAATAACGGGGCTCTAGACAGGTTGAAAATTAAAAAATCAATACAAAGCTCGCTTGGAACAGTCAAAGTCCTACACCAGTTAGTCTATTAGTTTTAAATTTGAATAATAATGATGGCGGTACCAAAACAGCGGATTAACATGGGAATAAGGCAAAGGACAAAGATCCTTGTTGGCAAGAAACTAAAGTAAAGTCCAGATTAGATATATATTTGGGTTGGCTGTTCGAGTTTCTGGTAGAACTACATATACAACTAGACATCAGAGCAAGAAGTAGTGAGTGAAATTGGGTGAATTCTGTCGCAGGTGTCGGTGGAATACAGCCCCCGGGCGCAAAGTCTATTATCCCATTGTCTTCAGTCTCTACAATCCTCACGTTGTCTACACGCTCCAGGGCCGCGAGGTCCCACCCGAGAGAGATCAACTCGTGATTTCCAGAGACACCGGCTTCTGGCGAGACTTCGGATACGGCATGACCTGCCAGTACAGGTACTGGACTGTTTATTCCAACAACTTACTCTTCAAAAAATAATATACACTTAAGAGCTTTTGTGTTTATTTCACCTCTTGTCTTGAGTTTTATTCTATTTTATTGACTAAAAGTACTTTTGCTTTTTGTTTCTATCTCAGGTCGGATTTTCTCAGAGTCCGGGGCTTCGACGAAGACATCGTCGGCTGGGGCGGCGAAGACGTTACTCTCTATCGTAAATACGTCAGGAGCAACATTAAAGTCGTCAGAGCAACAGATCCTGGAATTTTTCACATATGGCATCCCAAGGTATTTTTTATATCCGTAGTAATCATTTAAAAAATTAATTTTCAGGGATTGAAAATTACAAAAAGTTTAAAAAACTATTTATTTACTGTTAACTAGCAATTTTGTTTTATTAAATAATGACTTTTGTGAAATTGCACTATACTTTCTTAAATATTGACGTTTTTAAATATATAAGCTCATCCCGATGTTACACTCATCAAGAGCTTTCATTTGAGTACCCATATGCATTTTTGATATATTTTTCATATATACATTTATATAATATATATCAAATATATGAAATATATGAAAAATTGATGTGGGTATTCAAATGAAAGGTCTTAATGAGTGTAACATCGGGATGAGCTTATATCATTAAAAATGTCATTATTTAACAAGATAGCAAAGTCAGTTCTTAATTATTGACATTTTTTAAGATATAAGCTCATACCGATGTTATACTCATCAAGAGCTTTCATTTGAATACCCACATGCATTTTCATATATTTTTTATATATTCATATATATAAATATATGAAATTATAAAAAATTGATGTGGGTACTCAAATGAAAGGTCTTGATGAATGTATATAACATCGGGATGAGCTTATATCTTTAAAAATGTTAATAGTTCACGAGATACAAGGTAATTTCTTAATTATGTATCTAGAGAAAGCATTTTTGAATGCATCTTAAATATTTATCATAATAAATTGACTATCAAAAAAAAATTTGTTTAGATAAAAAATAAACATAAAAAGTCAGATTTAAATTTCAATATACTATTTTATTTCTTTGATATTAATATATCTGACGTTTTATTAGAATTTACCGGTAACTGCTAATTGTTACAGTTATTAGAAACTCTGTCGGATAAAGCAAATAAAAAAATGACAGGTGGAGAATGTTCGTAAGCCGGTACGGCATCAGAGAAGTTGATACGGTTGACAATATTGCAGGATATACAATAATAACGAGTAATGGTGTATATCGTTTGCGGGCAGTATTGTTGCGAGTACATTCCCGCAGTCTCGACGCCGTTTCCCAAAGAATATGGGATCCCGTGGCGTGCAGCAAGCAGCATAAAAGCCCAGGCGAGTCGTAACCGAGGAAAAAGTAGAGCAATTCTCGTAAAGTCAGCCGAGCTTTGCAACGGAACAGTTTCCTCGTTGAATTCTTTTCTGGGTTTAAACTTACAGTTTCACATACACAATAGTATGTTTGAATGAACCATCCGTTTTTATTGGTTTTAAATATCTTCTTCCTGCCTCTAACTGCCCTTTTTTAGACTACATTCCATACTCTATACTTTACCTTTTTTAAATTTTAAATCACTGCTTTAATATTCCCTTGATTTTTTGCTCTTTTTTACCTCAATGTTGTAAATAAATCTCATAAATTTATTTCTTATAAAATTTTTTCTATTAAAAAAATTGTCAAAATTTTTTTTTAATTCTTAAACTTTCTGTACTTTTTTTATAAATAAATTTTCAACCCGAAAATTTTATTAACTTTCTGTAAATTTTATGTGAAAGCTCTTGAAATAAGCTCCTATTTAAACATCGATATATTTTTCTATCTCAAGAACTATTAACTAACTTAGCTCTTCGATAAAACTCGACAACTGCATTAAATTAAAGAATTTCGTAACTTTTGGGTTGCTCCGAAAAATGAACTGACAATATAGTCCATAAAATAAACGAGCTTTTCAGCGTGGAGAAATAATTAGGCAATAAATAAGACGGTGAGTAACTGAAAGCTCCTGAGAATATAATAACCGAAATCTGGCGATAACAATTTGGGTAGTTACCTCGTGATCGTAGTAGGTGTCCGGGGGTTACCTCGTTTACTTAAGTAATCGTGAGATAACCTGGCGTGCTCTCGCTCCTGGATAATGAGATTATCGAAAGTTGGTTGCTAATAAGCCGGGCATCGATCGGAATTAGGAGGGTACGATGTTCCGCCGAGCAAAGGTAGAGTGTAGAATGTATAAGTGGTATAAGCGTCTGGTGTGCCGACGGGTCGTTGGACTCGGGTGGTTGGCTTAAGTTAAGGGACCAGGCGAGAAACTCTGCCTCAAAACTTACTAAGTCATTTACGTATAATTTAACTTATCGTTTATATCAATATACATTTGAAGTAGGCCGGAAATAAAATTATTTTAAAAGTCATTTTTTGGAATAAATTTTTACAAAAAAATAATTGAAAAATTTTTTGCATTTATATAAAATAAAATTTTTATATTATTGAATGACAAAAATAAAAATTTACATTACTTGTTATGACCAATCACTACAAATTCTGTATTATATATCAGAAAAAAAACTTTTGTTAAGGAGGTCCTTTCGCCGCCAATGTAAAATAAAAAATATTAGATTATGAGTAAATTCAATTTTTTTCTAATAGTTAAGGCCCTTATTTATCTAATAATGAGGTTTAAATTATACTTTACCGGACAAATTTTTGAAAAAATAAAATTTTTAAATGTTAGTATTTGTTCAGAGTCTTACGAGAAAGTCAGACGTTTGCAGTATTTCTCGAATTATACTATCAGTCATGGATTAGATGAAGTAAAAAAAAACTAAAAATTAGATTTTCGAAATATTCAGGTTTCTTTTTTTGCAATAAAATATATCAGTTACCGAGATATTTATTGAGAAATTAATTTTTAAAAATCACAAAAAATTCTCAAGTAACCTACGTTAAAATGGAGTCAAAACATTTGGCAACGTTACGTAGCGCGCGAGCTTCAGACCATTCAATAAATTCGAACTAATTTATTTATTTACACTGACTGCAAAAATTTAAACGTGGTTAAGGTTATATTGTGCAAATGAAAATGTAAACAACCGAAGTACAGCGTTGCCAAATCACGGACAGGTTACTAGCAGCTGATTTGAAAGAGTCAAATTAATTTTTATATTTAACTATTTTTTTTTTTATTTTTAAAATTTCAACGATTAATGCCTCATATAATATTTATTATTTAATTTTAGGAATTTTTATGGATTTTTTATTTTAATTTACCGTATATTGACTACTACAATTGTTTTGACTCAACTGGAGCGAAAGGATTTCCTTAAGATAAAGTGAGTTAAAAATAAGTAAAATAGCAAAGTTGAACCTCAAACTAGAGCTCGAATTGGCGAGGTGTTGGTTAATGGATCAGACGAGCATTGGAGAGAGCACTCTGCTCATACTACTGGATTAGCTTTGTTAGTAATGCACGTGTGTATATGTGGGAAATGTGTACGTGGCAAATGTAAGCGGTGGTGAGTGTGTAATGCGACAAAGGGGTCCGAGTTCCACCCGGACATGCTCCCGTTTGAAACCCCTTCCCGGTTGCTCGAGCAATTTTCGAGCTGGTCGAATAGTTCCGTCCGCCGGTCCGCTCGTTCGAGCACCAACAGCGGCAGTTTCTCTCCAGCTCCGGCATACCGCTTGCTTATATGAAATTCCACCGAGTCAATAGAGAGCTGCGATTATTTCGATGGCTTATGTGAATGCTTACCAAAAGGTGGTATGAAGCACAATCGGTCAACCGAGTTTTATTCCTTAGTCCACTGCCCTTTTATCAATCTCCCAAGATTTTTTACATATAAAAAATATCTCTCTTAAATATTACGCTAACGTTTTTATTAAATATTTTTACTTTGTACCTCATTTTATCTCTGTTCGAGTAAAGCGAATGGATATTTTTCAATTTGTTTTTAAATTATGATAAAATTTACTTTTTAATTCCCGCGTTATTCATTCTTTAAAATGATTAATTCACAGTTCTTAAAAAAAAAAAAAAAAAAACAATGTAATCAAATTAAGCTCGTAAATTATGTATTTTAATTCTGTATGAATGTGAAAGGTTTAAGCGAACTATTAAATGAGGAAATTTTATTCAAAAGACTTTTTCATATGTCCGAAGTTTTTTTTATCTAAATCCTCGAGTTTATCATTTTTAAATACTTTATTTTATCCATATTAATTTTGAATATTCTAAACAAGAATATAAATTTAAAAAAGAGGTTTTATTAACGACAATAAAGTGCAAAATTAAATAAAAATTTATCGATAAAAAATATAGCACAAATTAATTGTATACAATAAAAAATTCTAGTGTAAAATTATTAATTTAAGAAAATAAAAATATTTTAAAATAAAAAATTCGAGGAAACATATGTAAAACAAAAGCCCGTAAAATAAATTCGCTATTTTGTAATTCATAATAAGAAGGTGGATAATATTTAACCAGGAGAATGGGAACTGTAGTCGGACAACGGCGGGTTGGGCAATCAGACTTGGACAAATATTAGAGAATGAATAAAGGGTTTGTGTTGGTGTTGAGGTACGTGACCGTGCGTTCTCAATCCCGAGAACCCGGAGACCCAAGAGCCGAGAACCGAGAATACCTCCGTATGTACAAGCGAATATACATATATACATATGATGGAAATGTAAATAGGTGGGAGTCTATAGAGCCACTAAACAGGGCTGCCCGTCAAGGTTCGTTCCACTTGTCGAAAACGACGCTCCAAATCACAGCACTCACCACTGTATTAGCTGTCCTTCTTCGGATTCGCCTCAGTACAGGCAATTAAGGCTCCAAGTGGACTAAACTTGTAGTTTCCCAGCCTCTCTGGCTCCTAATTCCACAGAGCTGTCTTATTCTCAGTCCCGACATCAACATACGCTGCTTTTTACTCTGACAGAATTTATTATCTATTATTATTATATTTATTTCTTTAAATATAATTTATTTATTTATTAAATTTAAAGAAATACTTTTAATAAATATATTTATTAAAGTTTGATGAATTTTTTGGAGTAAATAAAAATTTATTTTTAATTTTTTTTCTTGATTTTTTTATAATAAAATTTTTTACATTAAAAAAAATTTAACTTGATTTAAAAAAATAATTCTTGGGCCAAAAAAAATTATTTTGAAGAATTTAATTGTCTTAAATTAATTCAAAAATTTTTAAATTAAATATAATTTATTTAAATCAAGGAAATTTTTTATAAAAATGAATTTTTATACTTTTTTTGGATTTAAAAGTCTTAATAAATTTTTATTAACTATAAATCAATATTTTTAAACTGTAAAAAATGTATTAAATAATTTATTATTATATTAAGTAATTATTTAATAAATTTATAGTTTAATTGAAGAGATAATTTGTTAAAAAATTGTGTGTTTGTTTTATTGTTCCAGGTTTGCTCAGGAGGCCCGGGCCAAAAACTATCAACAGACCAGTACCGCGCGTGCATCAGATCCCGAGCACTGAACGAGGCCTCCCACGCGCAACTTGGGTTCCTGGCGTTCCGTGACGACATCGCGAGTCAAGCGATGAACCTCAAGGGGACTCAAACGAAAAAGAAGAAGAAAAAAGGCCCTGTACAGCCTCAGCCCAAGAAGGACAAAGTCCCGGGTTCCAGACCCAAGGACGACCCCAAGGAGAAGTCACTGAGCCAAGACAAGCCGGCTAACCAGACTTGATATCATCACTAGACTCAATTAAGTCTCAATCCTCTGTAAATATCGTGTATAAATTTATATTAATGAAAGTATTGAAATGTACTGAAATTTATCCGAGATAAATTTTTAATCTGTGTGGAAGATTATTAATAAGGATATTTATTTGTTAATATTAATTAATCGTACCTTTTCTAAATGTGATTATCTAGTTAAATTTTATTTATTGTTATTTGTTATTGGTTTAATTTATTTTTAAAATTTATTGTTGATTTTTTGAAAAAAAAATTTCTCTATTGGCTAAAAATTTTTTTAAAAATAAAATAATTAATTTTTTTAGTTTTTTAACTAGAAAAAAGATCGGTAGAGGGGGTAACTAGCAAATGGAGGTGTTACTTATAATTAAAATTATTATTTGAATAAAAAATAAAGTGTCAAATTTTTTTACAACTTTACAAATTATATAAAAGTTTTTTTGTAAATTTTTATCGTTAAAATTTATTGAAACTAAAATGTCGTTATTTGTAAATGTAAATGTCATTTGTTATATGTTGAATTATATTATATTACATCATTATATATTAAGTTATTTATATGAATAAATCTATAAATAAACAAAATAAAATAATTGAATTTGTAAATACGAATAAACGTTAATCCACTCAATGTCAATTAGATTGCACAAATATCACGAGTAACTGCGCGGAAATTTCCATTTAAAAAATAATTAACTTAATTTTTATGTATGTGCCGTATTAAAAGAGGAAAAAAAATTGTCAAATTTGAAATAAAATAAAAAAAATCTTTCTGAACCGATTATTTTGTATTGCGAACTCAGAAGCCCCGTAGCACGAAATGAATCATAATTAATTAATCCTGAGGACATTTGATGGGCGAATTCTCGAGGGTGGAGATAGCTTCTACTCTGAGATAAATCATCGGAGAAGTTGAGCGGACAGCGACAGTTTGTTGACGGAAAAATACAAAGTTTTAAAGTGTATAGAACTGTAAGTGTAGTTTTGGAGTTTTAGTTTAGCTTTTAGCGTCCTGTTGAAACTCTGTTGAGATACCAGGACGTAAACCAGCAGCTTCTACACTCACTAGCATCCTGAGCTTTTAAACCCGAGCAGTTATGACAGTTTTATTGTCCACTGGAGTTTTTTATTTACCAAAAAAGCAAGACTAAAAGGAGAAAAGCGAGTCAATTTTTTGTAGCGGGTTGTTTCTAAGACGGAAATAAATTGGTGAGTTTAATACAAGTCGTCCTGTATACACTGATAGAAGGATTTAGTAATTATTAATAATTTAATTTATTTGAAGACAATTATTTAATTTATTAAATTTTAATAAATATTTTTTAACATTCAATACGTATTTATTAGTTGTTAACAAATATTTATTAACAGTTAATAAATTTTAAATATAAACAAATCCTTCTACCAGTGTATTGGTCAAATTATGTCACTTATTGAAAGCGACGCTTAAATTCCAGGTATCAAAGATAAATATTAGGGTTATGAAAAGTTTTAATTAAAATTAGATAATTAACTTTCTCAAACGCCTTTCACAGTTTTATCTGAGCTGAAAAGCTCAACAAGATTTATATATGTATTTTTAATTTTTAATTCTAGAGAGATTGGAGTCAGGTGCCAGAACGAGTAGCTGTCACCCAGACTCTACTTTGTAAAACCTCGTCTTGGTCTATACTTATCCCGGAATAAGATTTTCTTTAAAGTTTTACAGAATTCAGCTTTCACGAGTCAGCTTACTTTTTCCCTTTGTGGTCACAATTTCCCGATCGCGTACTCTTAACCCCGGGATGCTATATAGCTATAAAAAACCGCATAGCCCTAGGCTGGCTCGTCTTCTTTATGAAACTCCTTCTAGAGTCTTCAGAAATTGCTCACACGATGTTATTCGGGTCAATAAAATACGCATTTTTGTTACCTTTTTTTACGAGACGGTTTACTATCAAGGCTTTTGCTAAACTAAATTTATATTAAAAATAATTTATCGTGAATATTTACTTTGAACAGTTCCTTTGAAAATTTTAATTTAATTTTTAGAGATTTTTATTAGTTGAACTTCTTTGATGTTTACTTAAATTCAGTTAGATGGAAATAAGCGACATCTAAATCGGTATTTGATGGTAAACTGGATCGGTGTAATTGAATAGTCGTTCGATAGAACTGAGTCAGTTATAATTTTGCGGTAGAGAGTGGATCACATAATATCTCTGGCCGAGGAGAGGAAAGAGAAACAGTAATTGGAAACCACATACAGCGGATAGTTGGAAGTAATTATTGGTAAAACTATCTTGAGAATAACTCTGGGTGGTCAAAAATTTATGGAATATCTAATTTATTTGATTTACAATCTTCGGGAGTTATTAATTGTATTAAATATGAATGTAAATAAATTTTTGAGATAGTTTGAAATAATTTTTTATTTATTATTTAAAAGTTATACTTAAATTTCAAGATAAATTTAATATTGAAGCGTTAAAAAATTTTTTTGAGTATTAAAAAAATGTTTTAACATTTTAATAAATTTTTTGAGTATTAATAAAATTAAAAACATTTTTTTTCAGTATTGATAAAATGTTTTAGGATCTAAAAAAATTTAATAACACTTCTAACTTCTAAATTAATAATTATAAAGTTAATTTAATATCGAAATAATCAAAAGTATAATCCCCAATTCCGCATTAATAAACATTAAAGCTCTCTTGTAACTTGCAATCCAAATTCCGAGTATAGAATTAGAACTAAATTATTTAAACGAAATCTTGCTGGCAGATGGATGTTGGAAGCTTTCACAAATTGAATTAAATTTTGATTTGTACGTTGGGTCAATTAAAATGGTAGATGCGGTTCTGATGCAACGATAATCTCATTTGTCGAAGGGATGTAGCTGAGTGCAGTTGAATAAGAGAAGCGGAGGGAGGTGATAATGGAAGAGTAAAGAGTAAAGAGTACAGAGGATGCCAGAAAGTGGAATATAAAGTGAAAGAGTTGGTCATAAAATATCCACTGGTAAATACAGTTGTATTCGCCGAGTGGAAAAGCTTTTACATGTCCCAATTCAAATTCAAATATTTCATAAAATTAACCAAATGGTTTTATAAATGCAAGCATGTGTCCGCAGTTATATTTCAGCCTCGACAATCTGCCGTATCGTATTGCCGATATGTTTGCTGAGTAACCGTAATATCAACTAGCTCATTGCTTATAAATATATATAAATAAACCAATCACTTCTGCAGTGATTAAACCATTTGTTTTAATTCACAATCATAAAATAATCTTTTCTCTCTTTTCTAGTCTGATTTTAATCGCACCAACCTGCTGAAAGGCTTTTTATGATCCAATAACTCTGATAAAAATATTTTATCATCCCGATAGTTTCAATCTATCGATTTTTCAAACAGATACTCTAAATATAATCGCGTTATTTTATTTCAAGCTAAAAGCTTGGGCTAAAAAAAATTTTAAAACAATTTTTGTATCATTGATTATCAAGTTTAGAAGTTTTTTTATTCAAAAACAAGCTAAAAGCGAACGATATGAAATTTTTTAGGTCAAGCACGCTATTACTTACAATAAAACCCTCAGAGAGTCACTTTAAAAGGCGTTTTAAGTAAACACCGATCATATATTGTAGAGTTAATTTGTCTCATTAAATAATTTGTTTAAAAACTCATTGAAATTCAAGGAACTTGATAAAAGTTTTGCTGTACTACTATGGAAATTATTTTAAATAGAATACACAGTACAATTTCCGTAAAATAACTATTATTCTGTAAGAATATTTTTATAATTTAAAATAATAATGCGGACTAGAAAAATTTTTTAATTATTTAAAGTCAACTTAAATTTAATCTTTCAATTAAAATTACCAATTCTTTAAGATTAAAAAATGTTTATACTTTTTTTTATTCTTGTTATAGTACTTGATAAGTATTAAAGTCTTAAAAAGGACAAAACGTTGTAGGAAGATAAAAAAAAAATAATTTAATATAGCTGCAGTCTTTTATTATTTAATTTAATTTAATTTAATCAAAAATTAAAATCAAAATTAATTATTAAAAATTAAAATTAATTATCAAAAATCAGAATTCATAATTGAAAAAAAAAAATTGGAATTTAAATATTTAAAAAAATGAACTATTTAACTGTCCGAGGAACAGTTGTAAATGATATCCCATACAATATACAAATACCCCGTTGATTAGTGGCATAACTAGGGGATGTTTGATGAATAGATTGACGGATAGCCAGTAAAGGAAAATTAATCACCGCAACAGTAATATATTAAGCCAGTTTAGGTTGATTAACGTCGCCAAGTGCTCACCGCTCAGGCTAGCACGGATCTTCTATACTATTATACTATACAGAGGATACACTGTGCTGTTGTGCATTCTCGTATTCGAGGAGCATCTAAATTTGGTTCTATATCTAACCGAGCAGCTAACTTCCGCCCCAATATCACTATATCTAGAGACTATCCACTATACAAGACTTATATTCCCCGTACACGTGGAGCAAGTAGTTTATTGTGTATTCAGAATAGGTAGAATCGTTTGGAAGTAGTGTGGAGTAGAGTAAGCTCGTAGCTTGCCAATCACTTTGCCGATCTAGATTGTTCGGTGACCACATTCTCTCATCTCCCTCTAGCAGTTATCGTTGTCGAGAGTTAGGTATATAGTTAGTTCAACGCTGTACAACACACTACAGGAGAGTTTGAGGGTTTTATTCCATTGAACGACCTTTCGATCGGTCGCACTCCTATGCACCCTCGGCCAACTTAAACACCGAGGACTCCACCAGGATAACATATAATAACACTGATTGGCTATTCTGTCAGCGAAGGAATATCGTTAGCGACATGCATGGAACATTGTCCTCACCTGTCGTCTTATTCTATTTCTCCAAGCTCGTTAGCCATTCAGAACTAGTTCCCGCCAATTAATTTTAAAAAACATCCCTTCTCTCTTTGTCATTTTATTGACAAAGATTGCAACA